TAGAAGAAGGCTAGATGATCCTTGCTCATGTGAAGCTTGCATTTCCATTCTTTCAACATTAAGTACCTGCTTTGTGTTAGGCACTATGTTAAGACACCAGATTGAGCAAGCCACAGTTCCTCTCCAGAGGGACTTGTGACAAAAATCACCAGAAACAAGTAGATGACCACATATAATCAGGGTATTCTCCTCCATCGATCTTTCTAGTAATTCCTGGTACCAATAACCTGGCTCTGGAAACAGAATCTAAGCATGTGAGAAACCAGGAGGCATTTGGATACATTTGGACTAATACAAGGGAAAAACGAATAACAACTGGTGAATTAGAATAATTTTGGTTCTATGGAAGCAGATCTGGCCAAGTAAGCTACAGAAACCAATTCAAAAAAAATTTTTTTCAGGACCATTTTGCTCCTTTCACATTATAAATAAACAATATGTTATAAACAGATACTTGGCACTCTTTAGAACATGAACACTAATATCAGATTTCTTATATTTTAACTTGTCTGACTTAACAGCTCTCACTTGAAAATTCTCAGAAAGGACAAAAATGGCAACAAGAAAAAACAAGACAGAGAACTAGAAAAGAATGAACAAACGAACAAATGAATGAAACCAGCCAAAAATAGCAAAAAGGAAAATACAATGGGTAAGGCATAAAGTGAATCATGTTCTGGCAAAGATACCCAATAAAAAAGCTAACACTGGTACAATGATGAAGCTAAAGACCCTCTATCTTGACCTAAACTGCTTCTTTGATAGAAGTAAATTGTTAAGCACCTGCATAGTAAGAGAAGGAAGATTAGAACTTACATATTCAATTTTAAGTCAGCAATATTATAAAACAAATGAATTTCAAGGTCATACTCTAGTAAAACTGGTATAGAGAGAAAATACCACCAGGTAACAACTAGGATATGGAAATTCATAAAGGCTTTCTGAGTTTTTAGTAAGGACTCCTTCAACTTGCAAACATCATACACTTATGCACACCCCTTCCTCTACCTCAGTGAAAGAGGAGGCCACACCCTGTCTCAGCTGAGTCCAGGAACGCTCTGCAGAAGCAGCATCAGCAAAGAGGGAAAGCCAATGAAAAGGTCGTGGGCTTTGAATCTAACAGACCTCAGTTCAAATCACGATTCATTCATGTGACTTTGGACAAAATCAGTTCATCTCACCAAGCCAAATGTTTTCATCTGTGACATCTTGCAGGGTTTTGGGAGGTTCAGAATGTTTACAGGTGTGTGTGTGCGTGTGTGTGTGTGTGTGTTTTCCAAAATTAATATTTTTATTAAATCAAGTCTAAAAAATGTCCACTGTAGAAAAGTCAACAAGGGTTTTAACAAAACCAAAATATACCTTTTTATACAAACATGTATATATTAGCAGCAAACTACTTCCGAGATTTTATGTTTAGTTATTTTAAAGAAAGCATTAAACAATGTATATTAGTAAGGAATGTTGGCTAATCCACTCTTCATCCTTTATTCTGTGATTTAGGCCTTCTACAAAATACTTTATGATTCTTATTAATGAATACTAACAACAAACCCAGGCTTGACTAAAAAGTAGCAAAAACAGGGTGGCTGGTAGAATCTGTCTCACTACATCATAGTCACACATAATCTTTGAGAATAACAAATGAGCACCATATAAATAGGTAACTGTGTGTCTGTGTAAACTCAATTTTTAAGGTGTAATAGCAGCCAACTATATCAGTTAGCATGTGACTCGCACTTTTTAAACATTCTGATATATAAAATTTTAATCAAAACAGATGAACACTTCAATCTCCTATTGCTTGTCCACTTTTAAAATCCTTAATAGAAATTCTGTATATAACCTGACAAACTGTATACGTATGTGTATACACACATAAAGTGTATGTATGCATATATATCTTTAGCTTTGAATCAATTTCTAAAGTGAGATGAAGCTAAACTTCTCATTTAAATATATCTGTAAAATATAGTATCACCAACTGAAAATTTCTAATACAAATTTCATCTCAGCTAATCAGAAATACTGGCTACTGAAAATTCTGAGGTGAAGCTGTTACTCAGCTTAGCATATTCCAAGTTTATCACCAATTGCCCATCAAAGAAATAAATTTTTTCTCTTGGTATTTCCTTCTACTAGCAGACAGAAAGTATCTTTACAATGAGCTTTAACTTTGTAAAGAGTCAAAATTATTACAGAAATCTCACTAGTCTTCAAAAATACTAAACATTATATAAACAATTTTCTTATAGTTGAATTCTTCAGCTAGAATCTGTATTTTAAAAATTTCCACTGTTCCATTTAGTACTTCAAGTTTCTATTCTGTGACTCTGAAAACTGGCTCAGATTTGTTAGGTTTATATCAATCACATCTTTCAGAATTTGCTACTGCGTGTTGTCTGTGTACAATAAAATAAATGGAAGGAAGTGTACCAAATTTCAAAAGCAACATAATGAAAAATTCAAGAATATGTAATATAAAAAAAGTACAACAGGTATTCCCTTTTCACCATTACATTAGTGAAACATAATCCTTTTTTGCTTTTAAAGCTAATGTCATAACTTTCATTTTTTAACCTAGAAGATGAAGTTTTTAGATGGCCTATCTTTACTTTTCTATCAAAAAACTAAAACAATAGACTGAATTACTTTTATTAATATACACATCAAGTTGTTGAAACAGTGATTTCTTGTAGTTTTCCCCTTAAAGATGGCACTTGCAGGCACAAAGATGCGGAGATGTATACAGCCTTCAGATGTTTACTTGAAAAGATTCCTCAACAGCAATTTGATATTGGGTTTCCTCATCTAGCTGAAGATTCACGAATTCTCCATAATCAAACCGATGTCTTCGATTTAGATGACTAACAAAATTTCTAGTAATCTGGTTAGGATCTCCCCAAGGAAGAGACACACAAATAGGACATGTCACAGGAACTATCTGAAATAGGTGATTACTGTTACAGTGATCCAGTAAACGCTGTCTGGTAAAATTTGATTCTTGACACAGGGGACACTTAGAGGTGGGATGCCCAGAACTTGTACTCTCTTGGTAACTTTCTGTGTTATCAGATGTGGATGTTTCACTTCTATTACTGTTCCCTACTAAATCTTGAGAGATCTGAAAGTTTGGAATGATAGAAGAAACGTCATATTCATCCTGATACTTCTTACAAGATTTGTAATGATATCTCATGCGATAGAATTTAATCTGTTTGGCACAGCATCTGCAGCTACCAGAAAATTTCCTCATGATCTCTTCAAGGTCTAAGGCTCGTTCAGGACATGCTCTCTCTCTTCCAGTCACATTTCCACGACACAGGGGACAATGTACTCTACTTTCTCTCATTGCGGTCAGGAAACATTTTCTACAGAAAACGTGCTGACAGGCCGCGGTCCGCACGGGTGTCTTTAGCACTTCCTGACAGACGGGGCAGTAGAAATCATCTTCGGTGTAGGCCGTGGCCGCAGAGAGCTCCTCAGCCATGGTGAGAGGCGGGGGAACAAGGCGATGGCGGCCGCAGCGGCCGAGGTGACGGTGGCGGCCCGGGTCTCAACTCCCTGTGCGAACCCGGAGGGGGAGGGGAATGGCCTGTGTGTGTGTTTTTTAAGTAAGCATTTGTATGAAGAAAAAAAATAAACCACCCACACAAAACTAGTGTCTGAGTATATTTTATGTAATGTATTCAAAGAACAATGGCTACATCATCAAATAAAAGTTCGTTTTCCTCAGACAAAAGCACTAGCTATGTCTAAGAAAGAGGACTAGCAATAACAAATCAAAAAAGGATACAGAATTAAGGATGTCCATTACATACAATAAATCCATAAAGCCCATCTAGGTGATAGGACACCTAATACATAGAGTAATCATTTTGTTCTGCTTTGAAACCTTATCCTGTTCTAAGATTTGACTGGTCAGGGCCTTCACCAATTGAACACGTTGACAAGAATGTGTTCAGCACCGTCTTAGGTGTTTTGAGATTTTTTTAAAAAAAAAGGAAAATAAAAGGAAATATATGACTTAGTGCCAGAATTGGATCACAGGAGTAAATTATATTATATAATAGTCATTGAGGAGGGAAACGAGATAAGTAAGGGCTGGGGTTGCAAGGAAAAAATTCATGATGAAAAAAGCTGAAAAGAAAAAATGAGTTAAAATGTAGATGGTAGGTTTAAGAATGTTCACTATAAAATTCTTAGAACTTTTCTGTATGTTTAAAATTTTCCATTAAAATGCTGGAAATAAAAGAAGAATAAATTACATTTGGTAAATCTCTCAGATAAAAGGAAAAATATAATCATAAAAGTAAAGGTATATATGGCCTATTTGAAATAGTGAGAATGCTGGCCAGACCTAGGAACAGAATAGATATTAAGAGAAGTAGGAATAAGACTGAATTTAATACTAATTTTTTGATTTGCTTTGTTTTGTTTTTTTCCTTCACAATATGGAAATCTTCACGGCTCCAATATTTTTGGAAACCATATGTTATAAATCAAAAATTCATAACAATACACTAGGCCTCTCTAAGAGCTGGATCAGGCTACCCTAATCCTATAAATTTTCTTTATCCTATAACTCCAAATAGATGCCATTTGACACCACTAAGGCCCAATCTCAAATTTCAGTTATTAAAATGCCATAAATTCTGCAAAAGTAGTTTACCATAAAAATTAATAATACAGTGAATAGCTTATTATAGAATGAGAAAAATCCTATTAAACAATAACCATTAGGAAAGAAAAGCATGGTAAGCTTTAAACCCTAATAACCACAAAATTTGGATTTCAACACTGCACTCTATATTTTTTTTCTAATTTAATAGAAAAGCATAACTGCTATCATTAAGTAGAAGCCAAAGGCAATGTGGATTTTAAGCTAACAATGTGGCAACTTAAATACATGTGTAAATGAAACAGACCAGGTACTTATCCACAACCCAAACAAAGCAATTAGAGGATGCTGGACTATTTCACCAGAAGTCTATTTATTCCTAAAGCAATAATATTTTTGATTAGTAAAAGAATATACTTCTAGTATCAGGAATACTTACTGAGTAGCTAAGAAGAAAATACTGCATTATTTAAAATTTGAGCTGTGTGTGAAATTGGCTTTAAAAAATTAAGAAAGCCTGTAAACAGAAAAGGCACCCTTCCCAAAAATAATCCCAAAAACCCTTCAAAAATCAAAACTAAGAAATAGGAATGAGACAGGGGAAATAAGGAAAAAATAACATTCAGAACCTAAAAGATGAAGAGCACAAAATAAACAAGAAGAATATTAGTGAGCATCAAACAATAACATGAGTAGCATGGGAAAAAGTCACTAGCTCACAGTAAGTAGAATAAAAAGTTTTTTTAAAAGAACATGATTTCAGGATTCATGAAAATCCTATCGTGATCCCTACCCTTCTTGCCTCAAATATTTTGTTTACCAGAATACAAATGCCTGTAAGTAAATATAACATATCAACTCAGATTCACACCAACATGGCTTTTCCCTATGATCAGAGTTGGGAATAAGGAGTAGGAAGGTTTCTCAAAACAACCAAGCCCACTAGACCACAAAGCGACAAAGATGGAAAGGTAAGGTCACAAAAAAGTAGGACTGAAAAATACAATTTAACCAGCAAACTTAAGGCCAGTCCAGGGATTGTAACTACTCTTAATAGAACAATAAATATGAAAAATTAAAAACACTGGCTCCCCCAGCAAGGAAGCACATTAAGGCTCTGATTAGTCCATCAAAAATAAAACCTGTCCAAACGATGGCTGGAAGATTTGGAAGGCTGCCACAGCCCATCTATGGCAGCTGCAAGTCCATGGAGAGCTCAGACGGCAATGGTGCAGGCTCAGTAGTAAAGACGTGAACCAAATGAAGATTTATGCAATTTAAGGTGAAAGCAACAATAACACACTCCTTTGGAATGAGTGGTTGTGGTCCTTTAAGTTTGTAAGCCCAAGTGTATACGTGCACACACAAACAGGCACATGTTATTGCTGAATAGCAACAAATGACAAGCTGTCAGTATATGTTTAAAAAGAAAAATTAAAAATAAGTAAACAAATAAATACATAAAAACAGCCAAGAGGTCAGAGTATAAAGCAGCTTACACTTCGTAGCCTGGGGACTAAGGCAGATGGAGCACAGCACTGGCCGGACTCAAGTGTATGCTGTACAGAAAGTCCAGGGATTATAATGAGCCTCCGGTGAGTACTACAGCATATGGAGCTGAGATGCTATTTAGATTGTTCCCCACACTTAAATGCCTTGTTTTGATTTTTGTGTACTTGCCTATATATTAGAAGATACTGCTTCAAGATACCCATGAAATTTCACCAACATGTAATGCCCTTAAGTTACTATGTATCTGCCAATCAAAACATTCAAAATTACTCATGGAAACACAAAACAGTGTGAAACAATTATTTTTTTAAAATGCTGTAAGCAGGAATCTGCAATGAAATATAATAATCTATGTGAGATGATAAATGTTTTAAGCCACTTAGTTTTGGGGTAATTTGTTTTTTAGAAGTAACTAACACAATATTGAACCCACAGAAAGACCCAAGGACACAAAGAAACTTGGTATAAGATAAAGTTGATATTCATGTTGGGAAGAGAGGGAGTTGAATTAATAAATTATGTTAAAACAACTAGCCACAATTTGGAGGAGAAAAAAAAATGAAAGTTGGATATTTAATTAATTCATTATAAGAAAATAAATTCCAGATAAGTCAAACATTAAATGTAATTAATAAAAATAGTAAAGTGATAAAAGAAAATAAATGCAGTCTTCTAAGGGTTTCTAGAAAGAGGCCCTTCTGAACATTTTACAAACCCAAAAACCACGACAGAAAATTACTGATGGATTTCACTACATAAAAATCAAAGCATACCATAAATAAGGTTAAATGATAATGAGTATGAGATTTAAATATTGCAATATATATTAATCACAAAGGCTCAATATCACTAAAATTATACAATTCTTATAAGAGACAAAAGTTATGAGAGAATAGGGAGTAAAATACACAGAAGGGAATTTCACTGAAACGAAATAAGGATACTATAGAAGGATATAAAAAGATGTCCAATCACACTAATAATAAAATGAATACAAATAAAAACAAGATATCCCTTTTTTAGCCTATCAGACTGGCAAAGGTTTTAAAAACTGACAGTACCCAGTAAG